ATGCACTCAGAAGTTCTCAAACGAAGAAGCCCGTACTGTGACTGCCCCCGTTAATGTAATATTATTCAAATGAACAAAGGTGCTCAGCAGTTTTCCTCAGGTGGTGAGTCCCAGCTAGTCCAGAAGATAACTTCCATATGGGGTGGGTGTTCAAGTGGAAGGAGAGGTGAAATCTGGGGGAGCATTTTAGATCATTGGTAGGATTTTGAAAATAAAAAAAAGGAAGTAGTTCCAGGTCAAGGCAGAGGCAATAAACACATTTTGTGGATGGTGAGGAAACCTGGCTGTGTACAGAGACAACGCTGGACAAACACAGGGAAGCTAGGAGGTAAATAACTTTGCAGGTGTGTGGGGTCTGAAGGAATTTGGTCTCAAGTCTGTTGAATTTCAGTAATGATGCGGTTTTCCAGGAGAGTTTTATGAAAGGCAGTTGAAGAAATGGCAGCGTTAATAAGTGAAATGTCGTGCAGAGAGGAATCAGAGCTGTGCCTAGAGGATGGATGTCCGGCGCCTGGAGGTGCCGGTGCCTGGAGGGAAGGATGAGTCATGGTGGGAAGGCAGTGCAGCATCCTTTGAGCCGAGAACAGGGTCATCTATTGAAGCTGTCTCTTGCTGCGAGCTCCCTTTGACATCTTCCTCATTCGGTTTATGGAGAAAATTAGCATGAGACAACACTCCTGCAGACTCAGAATTAAGACTTAATTTAAAACATAAGTTGATTGTATTATTTTTGTTCTTTTTTTTTTTTAAAAAAAATTGTGTCTTGAAATACCATCGCAGAGAGAGGAGCTCAGCCTCACTTTATGCCTGTTCTCCGTCATCTTGATTCAATATTAATATTTACAAAAGTACATTGTGGTTCAGTTCCACAAATCTTCACTGAGTACCTGCCATGAGGAATACAATGAAGACTAAGACAGAGTAAGATGAAATTTTGTATTACCTTGAATACAGAGTACATGGAGAGTGGAAGGGAAAAGGAGATTAGAAGCATAAGCTAGTGTTGTGCTAGATGGATAAATTAAGGAATTTGAATAGAGGAAATTTTTTTTAGATGCTACAAGGGGCATATTAGTTAATTTGTACTTCTTAAATTCAGATAACTTGCTGATATTCATTTAAATAGGGGGTCAATTTTTCACATGGCAAACATATTAGCCAAAGTATACTGAACAGCAACAGAAAATATTTAATACTATGAAATTTGGTTTCAAGAATCACCTCACTGGAAAATAGAGCAAAACTATTCTTAAATAAATGGCACTGGGTAGTGAAAACAAAACTGATTTTTGACCAGATGGGTTTAGGAAGCCTGAATTCCTTACCTTGACACATATATAGAAGTTTTAGTAATGCTTAAAGAACAGGAGAAAACATTTGGCGTACTCTTACAGAATGAGTCAGTTGTTATGCAGCCTGTTGTTGAATCTAATGCCTTGATATATTTAGATCCTTTGTGACTTGAAAAACCAGTAGCCCAGAGAACAGTGTAGATGTCATGTTGACTCTTCTTATTCTCCCAAGAATCTAATTAGAAAAGAAATTTTCATATCAATCAACCAATCAAGTCAGTACCAATATCTATTAACATCATTCACTATGTTTGCTGAACTGTTTCTCTCAGAGCAGCTCAAATGTCATCTTTTGTTAAGAAGAGAAAGAGATTTATAATCTTTCTCTCTCTCCCTCTCCCTCCCCACCTCTCTCCTCTCTCCCTCCCCCCCCTCACACACACACACACACACACACACACACACACACACACACAGTGCTTAAACCAAATAGTTAAAGCCAATGGACTGATGAATTGGCCTCAGTGGGAGTTACCATGACTAGTTCTAAATTGTTCATTGTAGCCCTGGCAGGTTTGGCTCAGCAGTTAGAGTGTGGGCCTGTGGATCAGAGAGTCCCATGTTCGGTTCCTGCTAGGGGCATGTACAAAAAAAAAAAAAAAAAAAAAGAAAAAGAAATTATTAATTGTAATCCCATTTGATACAGTGAGCCAGTAATTGTGGTTCTAACCTGTTGATGAATGAAAAAAAAATGAGGAAATTAAAATCACTTTCAGTTGAGCAATATGGGATTGAGTTGATACAAGCCCTTGTAGTTTTGCTGAGGGTCGTATTTTACTCCCTAGAGATAGGCAAAATGTGATTAGCCCAAGGTTAACAGGATTTTAATGTTCATACAAATGGAGATATTTCTCAGCTATGTGTTTTTTTGTGTGTGACAATTTTGAAAACAAAATTTAACCTCATTCATAAGTCATGGGAGCAGTGTATCTATAATTATCCATAGAGGATATGAAAATGGGACCTTAGGATGTAAAGAGGTCCTTGACATTGGAGGCAGACAAGTAGATCTGAGAGACAATTAATTTTCAGTTGTGTAACATATATTTCTTTATTGTGTAGGAGTTCCATTAGATTAGTTTTCTAGCCCAAATTTAACTAGAAAACCACTTCAAAGATAAAACATAAGAGGTGTAGCAGTCTGAGTTAAAAGAGTCATTGCTGCTGAGCAAAATGAAAGGCAGAGAATTAGTGTTAAAAAATCATAGTAAAAAATTATTTGGTGATAAGGAAAGTTCGACACCCTTTTAAACTTTTTTTCTTTATTGATTTTTAGAGAGAGAGGAAGGGAGAGGTAGAGAGAGATAGAAATATCAATTAGAGAGAACATTGATTGGCCACCTCCTACATGCCCCCAACTGGAGATTGGGCCCACAATCTGGGCATGTGCCCTGACCAGGAATCGAACTAGTAACTTCTTGGTGCGTGGGTCAATGTTCAACCACTGGACCACAGGCCGATGCTGAGCAAAACTGGTCAGGGTAAATTTTGATAATTTTTAAGGCCTCTTCAATTCCTGATTTTCTAGAACTAAAACCTGAGTATGTAGATCACGTCCAACCCCAATCCTTGTTTGGTAAACGTCTTTTAAGAAAGCAAGCAAAGAAACTGACTGCTGGGCCAGATCACAATTGCTGCAGGCTTTAAATTAGGTGGGAATAATGCCAGATGAAGCCTGGATCTGTGTGCGTACTGCTGAAGTAGTTAGTGGTTAGCATCACCCAGGACACGGGTTAAGAGAGAGCATGATGTCAAGGACCAAGGGTTAACGTGGTGAATCTACCTCTGGCCATGTAATCTAATGGAATTTAGGGCTGAGGCGGTCAGTACCATGGACAGCTCTTCAAAGTGGCGGTGTGGATGTAAAACCCAGGGTTCAGTTTGGGAAAATTGCATTCAGGTCCTGGTTCTGCCTCTTCCTAGATAAAGGTCTGTACCATGGATAGTCAATTTAATTTATGAAATTCAAAGTTTAATCATCTGAAACATAGTAATAATACCTGTTTTTCATAGTTCTTGTGGTACACCGATGATAAAGTGTAAGAGAAGGTATGTGTCAGCTATACAAATTAAAGATATTAATATTGTGTTAACCTTTCACTTTTAATCATTGACCTTTAGCTACCTGAGATTGTATTATGTTAATGAAAATTGCTAGAGTCTTCTTAAGGTCTGAAATAAGAATTAAATAAAGGACAGAGAGACCAGGGCACTGTGAGCAGATATGCACTTGATTGGCGAGAGGAGGGAACTAAGATATACTGCATATATTGTAGGTTCAGACACAGCTTCTTATATTTATTATGTCATTTAATTTTCATAACAACTCTGTACTAAGCAAAAAAGTAGAGGATCCAGTCCAGGTGATGGCCTTCCATCACAGCATCTTCTTTCTGTTGCTGCTGCTGGGATGAAATGAATGGTGTCTTGTATACAGGGCCAAAGTAGTAATAGAATTCAGACTCTTGGTTTCTCCAAGAGTGATCTCTTCTAAAGGTTTCCCTGGTGACGTAAAGCAGGAGTGAAAGACAGAGAAAGGGAGGGTGAGGCATATACCTCAGCCCCCAACAAGGAGATATCAGAGTGTCCATGGCCAGGAGACAGAGCCATGCATTCAGGGGTCCTTTAGAAGGAGGTGACCCAAGCTCACTGGAATACACAGGTTGTTACTGAGGTTGCTACAGGTCTGGTCATGGTGGGAATCCTTGCAAACACCCTCAACCCACTGGTCTATTAAAGGAAATGAAAAATCATACTTTGTTATCTGTGTGTGATAACTTAAGATCAGTGATGTCTTATTGAACAGCAGCATCTAAATACCTGTACAATTAGAGCATTGTAAGAGGAGTGGAATTCTTGTATCATTTGCACTGCATGTCTCTGTCTTTGATGAAACCAAAGTATTTTTCTTGTGATTCCTTCATAAATTTTTATTAGCCTTAATTTGAATCTTTACTGCAGAACAGATAGGGTATCAAATTTGATAGGGTATCAAATTTTTTATGAACATGAATTCTACATTTGAAAATGACCATTTGCGTGTGTAAATTTATGAATATGCAATGTATGATAATGGGAGTTCACCACAAAGTGTACAGAGGTGCCCTCAACATCTTTCCATATAGTTTACCTTATGTATATAACAATATAGGCAGCTACAAGGAGCTTTTTGTAAGACTACGGTTCAAGTTCCTTTACCTGAAGATCAGCTGAGCTGCTATTTCTTTCTCTTCAGTTAGATAGATGTTTGTGATTATCTGTTCAATAGCCCTTGAGGAACAGATTGAAGAGGTAGCAATTTTCTACCAAGGTAGCATTTAAATCCATTATCAGGGGAGGTGGTGCTGTTGTCCCTCAGAACTTTCAAAAGGAAAATGTTAGTGATTAGAGTTATATAAAGATTTATATAATAGGAAGGGCAGTGGGGTGGAAATCAGAAGATACAAGAGTATTTTTAGTCATTTTTCAAATCTTACCAGGTAAATTATTTAAACTCTCTGAGCCACAGTGGAAACGGGACCACCGCCTCGGTCACCAAATGGCTGCGCAATGATACTAGCTGATGTTTGTGAAGGCACTTAAAACTCGTGACATACTTTTAAAAGAAACGTTATGATCATGCTTCTTTTTGGTTGTTTCCCACAGAAAGTGAGTGAGAAGGTTGGAGGAGCTGAAGGAACCAAACTAGATCATGACTTCAAGGAGATGGAAAGGGTAAGTCTTCACCACATAGAGTTCCCTCTGTTGTAAGATACAGCATACTCAGAAGAGCAAGGAGAAAGGAAAGAGAAAAGTGTTCTCCACTGGTACCTGAGAATACATCTTGTTATTCTTAAAAACACTCTTTCTTTAGTGTCTATTTTAAAACAGAAAATGTAGAGTATCCTGTCTCCCCTGTGTACTATCCCAAGAACAAAATATCAGTGAGGGTGAAATGCCATAATGTACTTTTCCTCATGGCTTTTGAGCTGGCATTCAATTGTGGTGAGATGGGAAGAAAGAGAATGTGGGGAAATGGTGTCTTAAATGTTTTGGGGAGAGTTTGAGTCACTTCCTGGCTTCAGAAGACTTTCCTGACAGGACTGTGCCAGCCAGAGGAGTGGGGTGTCATGGGGAGAAGGCGGTGGTGGAGTGTTTCCGACCTTGGCTCTTGCTCCTCTTCTGTTGCTTGTTGCATGAGTCAGTTTGTTGCTTGGAGCCTCTATGTTTTTATAAATATAAGATGAGACTACAAATTCCTTTTTCAAGGACTTTTATTAAGGATTAAATATAGTGATAATCCTTTAGCATTCTGCCTAAAAGTAGTTTCTCAATAAGTGAACCTGGAGGTGGTGCACAAAATATCCCATTTCATTTTTTTGTGACATATGCCATATTTTCTCTTCTTTTTTCTTTCACTTTGAGACTGTTTTTAGCAAGTGATACTTAGGCTTATGGTGAAGAGTGTGCATTGCTCTGAACAAAGAATTATTCTCGGTGTTAAATTATGGTTGGGTGAGGGATCTGGGAACACAAACCCTGTACTTGAACAGAGAGGATGTCAAAACCCTGTGATACCTAGAAATCATAGTTTTACTTAGTCCATATTAGTTCCAGTGGGCTGTCTCAGTTTTGCTATTTTTGCACTTTGTGAGAAGTGTTAAACAAAGAACATTTCTGTATATTCTCTGCCTTGTGTTTTCATTTTTTCTTCTGATGAATTTGTTGCTTCGTTCAAGTTCTTATTTTGTGCCTCCAGCGAGCCAGGCATATGGGGGATGTGGCAGGGAGCAGGATGGAGAAGGTTCCTGACTGCATGCAGTTCTAGTGGGGAAGGAAGACTTCGGACAAATGCTGACCAGTGTGGCACTAGAGAAGCTTAGAAGAGAGGAAACTCGCCCACGTAAGGTGGTCAGGGAAGACTTTCCTGATATTTAAGTGAAGATGCAGGGGATGAGTAAGAGTTGGCAGAGCCTAGTGTGTTTCTGGTGTAGGGAACAACAAACGAGAGAACAGGACACATTTGAGTTCCTGAAGATAAGGTGAGTTGCCAAGAGACAGTAGTCTCATAAAATGAGACTGTGTAGTGTTTACCTAGCTGGCCATTCTAAGTTCTTGAGATGGCCATCACTGATAGGATAGGTACCCATAGGCGAGGAGATTTAATATGAGAGTCCTCAGTCCTAACCAGTCTGTGAAACCAGCCTCTTACACCAAGTGCCTGGCAGCCACTTGTCCACACTGGACTGAAGCCTACGTTGATCCCCATTTCTCATCTCTGGACAGTTCTAAATACCACCTGATCATCAACCAGAGCTGGTAGCCATGGCTGTTCATGGTTCTGGAGATGATATTTTGTCCATTCTTCTCCTTCAGCATCTGAATCTCCAGACACACTCAGAGTGACTTGAGTCTGACTTCTGCACTGCCTGTGATGTTTGAGTCCCACACCCATTATGAGCATTCATGGAGGGTCTGGTAGTTTGCACCGACCTCTGTCTATATCCCATCTTTCTTAGTCTTCCCTTATCTTTTGATGTCTCCCTTCACTCCCACCCTGGAGGGAATTTATAGTATGCCACATGCCAGTGCCCTGTGGTCAATGACAGACTGGGCAGGTATTTAGGCATTTAGAACTAAGGAGTCAGAATTTATTCTGACTGAAGAGTTCTGCTTTCTTTGTCTGCCAGAACAAAAGTTCACTGCCTAAGCTCAAACAAACTAGATTTTGATTCTGAAATGAGAGTAAAGAAATTTGGAGAACAAAGTAGAGTTTATAACTGAACAACTGCTTAAGGTTTGAATCCATTCCAGTCTTGCAAACTAATTGAAATAAAGGAGATTCTTGCAAGTATTTTACTTCAGGCAGAGACTCAGACATCCCTTGAGTCTGAAGATAAGGTTTATTTCTCCTATTTTCTAGAAAACAATGAGTTTCTGGAGGTTTTATTTAAAAATCTAGATATTCCTGCAATAAAGTAATGTCTTGGTAATTGTTTGAAGAACGCACTTTGTATTTGGATTTATATCTATGTAAATTGAGAGATTTAGATTTCAGTGCAGTGTGGAAATTTGTTTTATTCCATTTTATTTCACACATCTATTGTCTATCTGTAGCTCTATTGGAAAGTTTGTACTTTTTACCCATGCTAAATTTGCAATAAAGGTAAATATTTCTGTGGTAATTAGAAAGCATATATTTTTGATTTAGAATATCAAATGTTTTGTCTCCTGTTAATATGTTTATTAGTCACAAAACTGTTTTAGCTCAATATTTCCAAGGCTACAGAAGAATCACCTTTTTACAGTCGGTTTTCTGATCATCAAGGATTTGGAGTAGAGAGACCTTTGTTCAGCTGTGTTCTCAGATGTGCAATTAGACAACAGAATGAAATAAATTAGAGGTTTGCATCAAGCAGCGCTACTGGGAGAGAGAAGTGGAAATTCCTAGAGGTTGCTTCTCTAATTAGCCACCCCAACCACCCTCCTAAGATAAAGTGAGATTACCATGTGTGTCTGTCAGTCCTTGCAGCTTCCTTCCCAGAGCGGAGAGGGTGGGACTTCTGCTGCTGCTTTGTCTCTGCAGGAACCCTGCCCATAACCATGTTTCTCTTCCTCTTAAGTGCCGTGCATGTAATTGTTTTTATGTTTATTTTAAATGGTATCTGTTGCTTAACCAGCTTCATTAAACACAAACTAAATTTCTTATCATGGTACAGACATTGCATGGATTTGTTCTTTGAAAACATGCAGATTTTCTGTCAAAAGGATTGTATTGCTATGCATCTCTCCCTTGAAGTCCTCCAAAAGTTTCTTGATACAATTTGGTGCTCCTATATTAGGTGCATCTGTGTTTACCAGGGTTATATCCTCTTGTGGGATCCATCCCTTTAATATTATGTAATGACCTTTTTTGTCTCTTACTATGTCCTTCATTTGGAAGTCTGTTTTGTCAGATAGGAGTACCGCTACTCCTGCCTTTTTCTTTTCATTCCTATTTACATGGAAAAATGTTTCCCATTCCTTCATTCTGTGTGAGTTTTTTGTTCTGAGGTGGGTCTCGTACACAGAAAATATATATGGGTCATGTTTTTTTTTTTTTTTTTTTTTCATTCAGCTACCCTATGTCTTTTGATGGGAGCATTTAAGCCATTTACATTTAAGGTTATTATTGATAGGTACTTATTTGTTGCCATTTTTATTTTTTATACCTGTGTTCCTCTTTTTCTCTTTTTCTTCTTCTTCTTACAATAGTCCCTTTAGGAGTTCTTGCAGTGCTGGTTTGGTGGTAGTAAACTCTTTCAGCCTTTTTTTTTTTTTTTTTGTCTGAGAAACTCTATATTTCCCCTTCAATTTTGAATGAAGCCTTGCTGGATAGAGTAGTCTTGGGTTCAGACCCTTGCCTTGCATTACTTCATGTCACTGCCTTCTGGCCTACAGTGTTTCTATTGGGAAATCAGCTGACAGTCTAATGGGAGCTCCCTTGTAGGTAACTTTCTGACTCTCTCTTGCTGCCTTTAAAAGTCTTTCTTTGTCTTTAACATTTGCCATTTTAATTATGATGTGTCTAGTTGTGGGTCTTTTGGGGTTCATCTTGTTTGAGACTCCCTGTGTTTCCTGGACTTGTGTGACTTTTTCCTTCACCAGGTTAGGAAAGTTTTCTATTATTATTTCTTCAAACGGGTTCTGTATTCCTTTCTCTGATTCTTCCCCTTCTGAAACCCCTATGATGCAAATGTTGTTACTTTTTAATTTTTTTCCATTTGGTGCTCTAGTTGGGTGATTTTTTTTTCTATCTTGTCTTCTAACTTGCTGATTCCGTCTTCAGCTTCTTCTAATTTACTATTGAATCCTTCCAAGATATTTTTTATATCAGCTATGTCATTTTTCATTTACCACTTGCCTTTTGTTCGTAGCTTCTACCTGTTTTTCATGCCTATGTAGTTTTCACTGAGTTCTTTATAATTCCTATTGACTTGCTTATAATTCTCACTAAGTTGTTTGAGCACCTTTATGACCATTACTTTGAATTCTTTAGCTGATAAATCACTTACCTCCATTTTGTTTAGTTCCTTTTCTGGCGATTCCTCCTTTTTGTTCATTTGGGGGTTGTTTCTTTTCTCTCAATTTTATTGGTCTGGTATTCCAGGGCCGGTGGGGCAGGCTGGGTCCTGGGAGCAGGTCTTGTGTCCAGAGGCAAGTGGTCCAGGCAGGTGGTGCGCCCTGGCTCTGGGATCCTGTCCAGTGGTCTGGGGGCACTAGAGGCTCTCATCCCTGACAGTGGGACCGGGGCTCTTTGCTGCAGTGGATCCAGTAGGTCGGTGGCTCCCTGCCCCTGGCAGCATCTGCGGGGAGTGCGACCCCCTCAGCTGCTGGTGGCACCCACGGGGAGGGCAATTTCCTCAGCGGCTGGTGGCACACGCACTGGCGGTGGGCTCCTTGGCTCGTTAATGTTTTCTTTTTGCATAGTATCTGTGCGTTATCCTCCGTCCAGGTGGATGCCAGTTCATCTCTTTATCATTGGTCATTAAACCCACACACTGTGCTCCATTTTAAGGTGCATATTTTTTCTGAAACTCTTAGTCACGTCCCTGTGACCACATCTGGTGTAAGTCTTCATCGGAATGAAGTCCGATCGTTCGACCCTTTGGTTGCTCCACAAAGAGCGTTGTGTTCGCTGTGCTGCCACCTAAGTTCAGAAACACCGAGTCCTGTTTTCCCCAGTGGATCCAGGTAATATTCAGATGCCTCAAAACAATAACCCCTTTCTAGTTAATTCAGTGCCTTTCAATACTCTTGTATCTTGTCTCTGAGGACTGAGGCACCTGCTGAAATGACCAGCGTCATTCATAGATCAGGGTGGCATTCCTTAGTGAAACCGGAACCTTGGCCCAGGGGTCAGCACACTTTCTCTATGAGTGCGCCAGGCTTTGTGAGCCACGGGCCACTGCGGTCTCTGTGGCAGCGCCTCACCTTTACTGTCACAGAGCAAAAGCCACTGTTGACGCTGTTTACACAAACAACGTGGTTACTGTGTTCCAATGCGGTTCATCTAAAAACACCGAAATTTGAATTTTGTATGATTATTATGTGCACTGAAAGAAGAGTCTTCTTTTGAATTTTCCCAATCATTTAAACATATAAAAACAGGTATTGGTCTGGTTTTGGCCTGCTAACCATAGTGTGCCAACCCTTGCTGTAACTGAAGAAGAATTTATAGTGAGTGAAGAGTCTAGAGAGCTATTTTTCTCCCTACCCAACATTGTACATTACAAGACTGGATAGTGGAGGAAGAAATTTCTGACTCTAAAGTACAGTAGACTCTTGAACGCACAGGTTTGAACTGCACAGGTCCAGTTATATGCAGACTTTTTCAATAAATACTTGTGCTGTCTCAGTCCATGGCTGGGAGTTCGTGGATTCTGAAGGCTGACTGGATGCCTTGGTTTATGCCATTTCATATAGGAGACTGCGCATCCAGGGATTTTGGTAAAGGTGGGGTGGGAAGTCCAGGAAAACTAATTCCTCATGGATACCAAAGGACAAGTTACATTTTGGGGGGAGTCAAAAGTCATATACAATTTTGACTGTGAGGGGCATCAGTGACTCTAACCTCTACATTGTTCAAGCGTCAACTGTATTGACAATTACTAAAATATTGGTACTGAGAAAAATAAAGAAAAAAGACCAGAAGACTCTATGACTGCGCTTTCACCTTCAGGGAAAAAAAATATTTTATATAGAGCTTTTATTTCCTGAAAATGTGCACATATTTGTATATATGTAGAGTTCACCTCCTCTAAATAGCATTCCCTGATGGCTTCCTACCCCTATCCAGACAAGATTAGTTAAAGAAATGGGAGCTCAGGAGCTCATAAAAATAGAAGTTATAATTCAGGACACATAAAAATTCATTTTCAAGTAATAGAAAACTTTGGGCATTGAAGAAAACATTTGCTATATGTCATAATTTCAAAGTTAAACTGTGCTGTTCTCAAATGGGAAAATCTCTTGCCAGTTATAATGAATTACTTAAGTGAAAATCTTAGTTCCTGTGAATTTTACCGGGCCTTTTCACAAGAGAATGTGTTGGAAGTTGCCAGGTTAGGATTATAAATAGCTTTCCTAGCAAATGTCTAACAAGGCACATTTGAGGTTCTCACAGGGTAATGGCCTCAGCCTGCTCCTGGCTGACAGTGTGGTTTAGTTTAGCAAAATGTCCCAGACCTTAGAGTGAGGACAGAGATGATAAGAAGTTAGAAATTGGCCAGCCTCCTACCTGCAGATGGTGACTGATGGTTCAGCTCCTCTCACACTCATTCTCAGAAACCTCATATCCAGGGCCTTCAGGACTACTTTGCTTCCCATCATAGCCACACTGGTCCTGTGACCTCAGGGAGTGCATTTCCCTTGTCTAGGTGCAGACGTGCACACTTAGAGGAGGAAGGGTCTGGAGCTGATTCTGCACTGGTCTCTTCCTCCTGCGTTAACTCTGCCACGTGATTCTCTGTCAGGGTAAAATCAAATGGAAGATCCTAGGGGATGATTTGTTAGAGCTGCGCCCTGCTTGGGGGATGTCCTGATAAGGCTGTACATAAATCATTGTATTGGATAAAGTTGTTTTCAAAGGTGGATTTAAATGAAGGTTACTTTGCACTCTGATCACAATGGTTTAGCTAGAGCTTGTGCTGTAGTGATGACTAGATTAGGTGACTAGGAGGCTGCCTCATTGGGAAGAAAGTCTGTAGAGATCTGGGTTAGTACAAGCTCTTTCCCGGGAGATTTCCATCAAATCACAGGGGATGCTGAGGTCGTCGTTATGCCTATTTCAGTCCGCTGAATCCTGCTCCGGGACCAAACGTAAGGCTCCAATATTGGTCTCTCCAGGGTGTCTGTGTCTCCCCTGAGAATACTGGCTTTAGCTGAGCAGGTAGCTTCTCTTTAAGGAGCAGGTGTAATTGGCTATTTACAGAGTCCAGAGGGGAGAAGCGGTTCCATACTCAAAATGAGAATCACTTTTCAGCCTCCTTGTGGACCAAGGTTCACACTGCTGGCATCCAGCTTCCCTAGAGAAGCCTGTGTGACTGTGGGGGGGGGGGGGGGCCGGAGTAGAATAGTTCTTTTGGGTGAAGTTTCCACAGACTTGGAGGATTTTCAAAACAAAAACAGAGGATGGGGTGCCAGGTGCTTTCCTCCTGGTGCTATGTGATTGGCAACTGCTGGGTCCCAGGCTTCATCTGGAGATGTTCCTGTTGCCTGTATTTCAAGAAGTCGTGGTTAAGAACACAGGCTCTAGAGCCAGAACTGGGCAAGTTTCTTATCCTCTCTGTGTCTGTCTCATAGGGTTTCTGCTGATTAAATGTGTAAAGATATTTAAAGCCTTTGGCACAATTTCTGAAAATCAGAGAACACGTCATGATGATGGTGTTTGTCATTGTTCTTTAGTACAGCAATAAAGTTCGAAATTGGTTCGCCTCCTAACATTTGGTAAGGTCAGGATGTCAAAATGGTCATTGGACAGTTCTGGCACTCTCTCTTAGGAACCTTGACCTTTGAAATTACTTAATTTTCGCCATTGCCACACAGGGCCTTTGGGTACATTTGAAATCAACTTCTTCAATCCTTGTTGCAGAGTCAGCAGAATATCTGAGTTTCCCTCCCGTCACACACGTAACCTGGACTTGCAGCACATTTGCTCTGCATACAGCCTTTGCATTCATTTCCACGACGTTGAGTGCATAGAGGTTGATTGGCAGTTTGCAGGCATTTCCAGAACCAGCATGTGTGGTTGTGTGACTCCTGCATTGCACAACTCCTGAGGACCACGCTTCACTCCTGAACTAAATACTGTTTAGTACATACTCAAATCCAAGACATCTTAGAAACTCAATCAGAACAAAAGGCCATGGTACAGGGTTCAGATGTAGGCAGGCACTTTTTAAGTAGGAGTGTTTTTAATGTAATGTTATACCATGATGACCTCACAGGAAAAAGTGTTTTCCTCTATCACTCACAGTAATAGCAAACTTCTTACACACAGTAATATGACTGCCATAAAATGGGAAATGGTCAAGTATTTAAAAACCAAACTGAAAGATAAAATCTTCTGATGGGTTATGACTTGGTTTCTGATTATGAAGAGAAGCAGGCTTACCACATTCATGAAAGGATGATTGTATAACTAGGTGCAGAAGATAATTGAAAATATTTCTGCAGTTGAGGGAAGAGCCCTTGAACTCCAGTGAAAACCAAACCAAGCAAAAATTCCTCGTGGACTTAATTGATATCTGAAATTCTACCATCAAAAATGAGTTTGTTTCACTCATGCCTGTATCTTGTTATATGCATGTATCTTGACAGGAGAGTGCATTTATTTTTCAGTAGTCATGTACGCTCTAGAGTAAATGAATGGACCAGATATGTTGGTAAAAAAGGATTTAGTGGGTGAATGTAGAGAGGACCTACTGCAATGAACAGCCTCTCCAACACACAGAGGGCATCAAGACCTGCTGAATGCAAATACTCACCATTCAGATGGACTCTGGCACCAAGACTTTATTTAGAATTGACAAAAAGTTCAAGGACTGTTTAGAAGTGTTTAAGCAAGATTTGTCTATACTAAGGATGTTCTCACACAACTTTCTGTCTCTTACTTAAATAAACAGAGTTGATGCTGCATTTTCATTTCTGTGGGGCAGTGACACTTGTCACCATACCTGGCCCACTGCAGACATCCAGTGAATGCCTCTGGGGCAAGGTATGATTCATTACCTCCATTTGGTTAGCTTTTATTTACATTTATTTTATGCTGAATTTATTCCCGGGCCATACATTTTTTGTTTCTTTTAGGATATCTTTTTCTTCTGTGCAACCTCTTCTGGTTTAGGAACAATTTGCTCTTTTTCAATAAGGATCATCTTCGTGTGGCAGAGCAAAAGCTTGTGAATCCCACAATGAGCTCTGTAAGTCTGGGGCACACCTGGGAGTTTTGTTTACCTGAACCAGGAAATCTGCACCCAAAACTTTAACCTCAGCATTACTCTGCATTTTTAAGCATGGAGCGCAAACCTCCAGCGCTCTTCTTGGGTCATGGAGTCTGTGTCCAGCCCCACTGTGGCCTGGGCACAACTACCAGCTCCAGCCTTGAGATGGCAGCATTGTAATGTAATAAGTTTCTTCTGTCAAGTGGCATCTTTCAGAGACTTAGTGGATTTTTTGGATAAGCCTACTTTTGATGGCCTGGGCAGCTTCACAGGTGTTCTTAAAGAGAACATGAAGATCGGAAATTCTTGGCTTTTGTGATTTTGTGGGTTTTTCTGGGTCAGTTGAATAGTGAACCATTTTCAGAGATCATCTCAGGCTTCTTTGGGAAATAAGAAGCTATCTCCACCTTATTTTGCCAGAAGACAATAAAGTCTAGTTTGAAACAACCTTTAGGAAATGACCAGTTTCCTCTTCGAATAAAGTAGGCTTTGCCACCTGAATGGAACACATGGGGTGCAAACCCATCCCCCCTCCTCGCAGCCCCCCAGCCCCTCACCTCCCTGTCAGGACTAGTCATCCTCTATTGCATTGCTGGTAGTCATATACCTACTCAAACAAAAACTAAGGTTCTAAAGCTAATGATCTTTGCCATTTAGAATATTAATTTTCTCATTTCAGAAAGTGGATGTCACCAGCCGGGCTGTGATGGAAATAATGACTAAAACAATTGAATACCTGCAACCCAATCCAGGTAAGGGGTCACTTTCCACATTCAGCCTATCCCTATAGGATACTTTCAAGTTTCTCTTTGAGAGATATTTTAGGTTCAGTGTACTTCTACTTCCTTAGCCCACTTTTCTGGAGGTTCAGTGACTCCAGGCATAGCACGTTCACCTGGGATGGGGGTACTTTTCAAAGCTGAAGGATTCCGTAGTATTTCATCTGACGGCGTTGTACTTAACAAACCATATTGCGTGGATGGCTCGGGCGGCCCATGATATCAGGGTAGCTACAAGGTGTTGTTAATGGTACTTTAATTTTCAAAGGATGTTAAGAAGAAAAATTAGGATACTATTAAGATAAGAAACAGTAATTCCCAGAAGGTTTGAAAAGATAGGAAGTTGAGTAATTTCTGTGAAACACAGAGGGTCTTCAAGAACACCACAGGTCAGTATTTGTCCTGCTAACGTGTTAGACCCTGCGAACAGGAAGTTGTCACAGAGATAATGGAGCTGTACCTCGAACAGAGAACCAGGCAGAACTGGAGCAATCTCTGGAGGCATAAGGTGTAACAGCAGTGCCGACATTATCGACCTCCTCCTCCCTCCTCTTCCTGTAGAGCAGTTCGTAACCCAGAGTGTAGAAACTTGAGGCAGGGCGGAATGCACCTATGTGAAATGCATTACTGTTCGGAAAATTGCTTACTCTTGAGACTGGTTTCTTTGGGAGTTGCAAGGTGGCATTTCAGTGTCTTTGGTGGTCCTAGGGAAGATGGTGCAGGCACAGGACCAGCCTCATGTGCTTGGATACCGAGCATTAGTGGGCAAGAGATCAGAAAAGAAAGGGTGTGGGATAAGAGGAAGCCAGCAGTGCCGTTGGCAGCGCTGACCAGCTCTCTACTGCCTCCTGCTGCCAGCTGCAGTGTAATTCAGTCTGTGTTTACCAAGGACAGAACAGCTACTGTTGTGAAGATGGACAAAGTATATAGGAGTACGGCTTCTATTTTTGTATTTCTTGTTAAGCCACATCAGAAATAGGATTATGTGAGGAAGGAAAATCTATATGTAATATAGTGGTAAGCTGTGGGAGCCAGGCATTTAACTGACATTGGTCCCAATGGTTAGGAAATTAGGCAAAGAATAGCAAAAAGCAGGTTTCTAACTTTAACCCAGAGCCATCTTCATGGCCTTTATATTCTACAGAAATGCAAGGATCTCATAAATGTACATGTATTTCTTAGTATTTAAACAGTTGTAATAAGTCAGGTTCTAAAAAGAGAACTGCTTACTCTGCCTCACCGTAAGAAATCATTATGTAAGCGCAAGAAATGTTGTCTTTAACTTTGACGTGCCCTTTGATTTATTCGGATTTACACATGAATTGTGCTAGTAACTCATTGCAGGGCTAAGATAAACAGAGAGGAGGGAAAGAAAAATACAGTATTTATTGAGTACTAATGCATTTTTAGTACAGGGCTACCTATATACACAATGTCATCTCTAAAAGTAACCATTTTTTTCTGACTGCAAAAATAAAATATATTGAACCAAGTCATAGTATAGACAGTGGAATGAATATCTACTGTAGTACTAACTCTCAGTGCGGGCCCATCAGTGTTCCAGGGTATAATGGAATGACGCTGTGCTGTAGGTAGAGATAGTACATTGACTAGTATGTCCCCCGAAATTCAGGGCCACCCGGAACCTCAGAATGTCATCTTATCTGGAATTAGATTTTTTCAGATATGAGTAGTTAATGATCTTGAGATGAACTCATCCTGGAGTTAGGTAAGCCCTGGAAACAAGGACCTGTGTCCTTAGGAGGAGAGGAGACGCAGAGAGGCACAGGGAAGAAGGTGTGAAGATGGAGCAGAGGCTGGAGATATGCTGCCCTAAGCAAGTGATGCCAGGATCTCCCAGAAGCTGGAAGAGGCAGAGAGGATTCTCCCAGAGCACCTCTGTGAGAACCAACTCTGCTGACACCTTGATTTCAGGGCCATGGCCTCTGAAACCGTGAAAGAGTGAATTTCTCTCATCGTCATTTGTTTGTGGTAATTTGTGATGGCAGCACCAGAAAATGGAATACAGAAGGCTTGCCTCGTTTTATGCAGGAATAAACTAGGGCCAGAGAATTTAAGAAACTTTCCCAAAGTTATACACCTAGGACTGGATGGAGCCTGGATCTGACTGCTTCCTAAACCCCTGTGCTTTACCTCGACGATCCTGCCTCTGAGACGGTGGGTTCGAGTTCATTGAGGTGTGAAGGGTCCTTCGCACGCAGAGTGGTGCCGCGGAAATCCAGAGGGAAGCAGTGCGGGGTTCAGACGTACGTCTATCTTAATAAAAGGATTACAGAAGGAGGTAGCTGGGGATATTTGAATTTTTAGAAAGGACACATCTTTAGTAGAATGCTGAATGGGCTATGTGGCTGCCAACATATTACCTTTATGGCTGTTTGAAGTGGACCGGGTATCTGCCACCACGGAGAGCAGCGAAGACCGTCACCAGGCAGTTCCAAGTTGGTTTCAGAAAAGCAGTTACGTATGGGCAGGCCACATACATATGCAAATAAGTGTCACCCAGATGAGTCCAGGACCAAACAAAAGTTCATATACTCATTCTACCGAATTTAGGTCATCTGTATTTAGTTGATTTATGATAGATCTGATTTAGTTCCCCCATGAATTTCCTGCCTTAAGAGCAGTCACTGGCTGTGGTGCTCATGAAAGATGCTGGCTGGTCAGGTACACGTGTCCAGGACCCACGTGTCCTTGAGAGGGGACCCAGAAATCCAGCAAATCCCGAGAGGCATCCGATTCTTGGGCACAAAAGAGCACAAAGAATATTCCCAAGCTCATACAATTTGCTAAATACTTTGACATCTCAGCCTGTCAGTGACCCCAGGAGCTGGTCACCCAATATGGCTCGCTGGGTGCTGGTCCAGAGTAAACAAGATCTGGCCTGGGTCAGGACAGAGGCTAGCTTCAGTAACAGTTTGCATGGCCAGGCCAGTAGCATCAGGGGGAATTAATGCTCGCAGGGCACGTTGAGAGTATCCTGTATGAGATTAACACTCTAGGGTGCCTTCTGGTTTTTAGATCTTGTGGTTGTGTATCAGACACCCCTTTTCTTTATTCTTGAAGCGTTGTGTATGTTGAAATGATGACCAAAGAGAGTTTGATTAACTTTCATGAATTTGTTGATATGCTCTGTGTAGGTCCCACGTCACTCTTACCCACCTCCAGAGCAATGTATACAAGTCTGTATATTGCACCGTGTGCCCACCACCCAAGGTGAAACCATCTTCCATCACCATGTATTGGGCCCCCTCCACCCTCACCATCCCCACCCCTTTTCCTCTGGTAACCACCACACTGTTGTCTGTGTGTCCAGAGTGATATTTTTAAAAGGCAAATCTGATCAGATCACTATCTTGCTTATAAAACCCTTCAATGGCTTTTCATTGCTTTTAGGATAAGCTGAAAAATTTTAACACGGCTTAAAAGGCCCTCCCTTCATGGTCAGTCTGCCCTTTTATCTCCACCTTGCCAGGCCACAGTTCCCTTAGGTCCTGTGCAAAGGTCACTTAGAAGCCTTCCTTGACCCCCGACAACATTCGGTTCCCTGGTCAGCGCCCCTTGGTGGTACATGCCAATTATTGTAATTGTGTGATGTGTGTGCGTCTGTCTGTCCTGCTCTGAAGGGTCAGGGCTGTGCCTGTCTTCACTACTGTATGCCCAGCCCCCAGCTCGGGTCCGCCAGCCAGTGGCACTTGGCTATTTGAATAAATGAATTAGGAAACACAGCTGACTGAGCCTAATGTGATCAAACTGCTCTAATACAAAGGACAAGAAGGGCAACCCTTCCTCCTTCCTTCTCCCTAAACCATCAGCTCTACCCATGTAACCAACACTTACCAAATGCATTCACTTTTATGTGAAGACCAATCCTAGGTGCAGTGCAGGTAGAAACAGAACCAAGACTGAGCCTCTGCTCTCTGGGACCTCACAGTCTAACAGCACAAGGTACGCACACCCTGAGGAGAGTGGCCCAGAGGGCCGGGAAGTCCAGCTGACCGGGAGGTAAGCAGGGTCAGTGGGCTCCCAGGTGTGCAGGTGAGCCCTGTGAAGCAGGGCTTTGGAGAACACAGATCAGAGAGCTGTAAAGTCTTTCACTTTGGACTGTGAAATTATTCTAACAGGAGCAGCATAAACTAGTACACATTTCCAACCTGTTCGGATAAATAATTGGAACATGAAAAGTACTGTGTACAAATCCCATTCTATTGATCGTGAGCCCCAATTCTCATGCTGTGTAAGAATGAGGATCATGTAAGATATAAATCAGTTTCCTCATCTGAGCATCTGATACCTTGTGGAGAAAAATGTACTAAAACAACATTTTTTAGTACGAATACGATGCAAGCCAGGTGGGTAATTTTGACTTTCCTAGTAGCCACATTAAGAAAGTAAAAAGAAAGGTGAATTTTATTTTAATAATATATTTAACCTAATATATCTAAAATATTAACCAACATTAAAAATTACTAAGACAGACTGACAACCCTCAGAAGAGAGGGTTGTGGGGGGTGGGAAGAGATAAAACACAGATCTTATATGCATGTATGTGTAACCAATGGACATGGACAACAAAGCCGGGGGACAGGGCGGGGGGGGGATGGGGAGGAGGGTGTCAATGGGGTGAAAAAGGAGAAACATCAGTAACAAAAATAAAATAAAAAAATAAAAAAAATTATTGAGAAATTTTTTCTTGTACTAAGTTTTGAAATTTTGTGTCTGTTTTACACTTGCAGCGCACTGTGGTTTGGACTGGCCACCTTTTAAATGCTCAATAGCCCCATGTGGCCACTGGCTCCCATTATAGACGGCACGGGACTGGTTTTCTTTTTAGCCTATTTATTATATTTGGATGTATGCTTGATGTTTAGCTGCTTGGTTTTTGTATATTAGTGCTTTTTTTTTTTCAGTAGAGAAATGGACTCTTGATTTGGATCAGGGCATTTTTAAGTGTA